AAGAAAATGAGCATGTCAACCATAACAACTACATCATCGTCATCATCAAGCTGGATTGCTCCAAATTTAAGTGAAGTTTCTGTAATTATGTGTCAATAACTAAAAAATGAATCATAAGCTCTAAGTTTTCTCTTGATTTCTTTCTTCATTTCTGATGTGATACATCTACAGGGAATATCATATTTACGGGCCTCTTTGACATAAACAGAACACCATCATCAGTTTGGATAACATGGTCATTTAAGTGTACGATAGTGAAAAAATTGTTAGCCATAGCTTTAGAAAGGTTTTTGGTTGTTCAATATAGTTGTACAAAGTAGAATTTTAGTGAAGATTTACATGACGTAAGCTAATTTAAAAGAAAAATTAGCTATCATCAATGACCATTCAGTGAAACGTGCATTTCTCATAGGTAAAATAATGTACCATGACAGAAACTTTTCAATTCCCAATTAATCATCTTTAGCAATTTTTCAGTTATATATCAACTCATTTTAGAAATTTTTTCAGTGATTACATATCACTTCATATCAGAAAAATGTACATTTCTCATATGAGAAATAATGCACCATGGCATAAACTTTTCAGTGCCCAATTAATCATCTTCAACAATTTTTCAATGATATATCAACACATTTTAGAAATTTTTTCAGTAGTGACATATCACTTCATATCATAAAAACGTGCATTTCTCATACGTAAAATAATACACCATGACAGAAACTTTTCAGTTCACAAACTTTTCATAAACCTATTAATATGTGTGAGGTGAAAGCTATTTTACTCATTTGATGCAAAAAAATCTAAAACAACTTCAGTTTTTCACTTACAAAGCTTGAGTTTTTTGCGAACATGACACCTATTCATGTAACTGTTTTTTTATGGTTGCAAATCTTTAACCATTTGTTTCGAACAAAATATTCAACTAGACGAGTTGAAGTTCAATATACAAACAAGGGTTCAACTCAGAAGCAGTAGAAGAATATCTTTGTTATACTATAAATTTTCACTATCATGCACGAGGTTTCATCTAAACGACGATGTCGACCTTGCTGATATGATTGAGACATATTTCTATCATTCTTTGTCTAATGTCGATTTGTTTGTTGAGTTCGTTGATCTCGACCTTGCTCATACGGTTGAGGAAAAAATGTCGAAGAAACAAACATAGATGATGGATACCCACCAACTCAGACAAATGTCGAATAAACAAACATAGATGATAGATACCCAAAAACATGGTTCCAATTTGTACGTGAACAACAACAAGAAAAGCATGAAGAATTGAAGAGCTTAATATTATTTCTGACGAGTATGCTGATTATAAAGATTAAAACATCATCACGAATATTATTATGTTTATGATTTTATTTATTGTTTAAGGTGTGTGTAAAATTATTCTTATTTACGTTGTTTTTATCTCCATACTATTAAAACAAAAAACAACCACGAAAACAAACTGAAAAAAATAATATTAATTAAATAGTATTATTTTAAAAGAATTCTTCAACTCGACGTAACAAATTCTAGTTTTTTCTCACAATTTTCAATTTAAGTAAATAACTGGAATAATATTATTTTAATGAAACCCATCACCTTGAGGTGACACTTTTTTTTAAAAATTAATTACATAATACGCACGAAATATAATAATATTATCTACGAAAATTCATCACCTCGAAATTATAAGTTCTCCATGTACTATAAAAAATATCGTAGATCTCAAATTAAAAATACGACAGCCCTATTTCCAATTTTTTTCAGGCCGCCATATTGGGCCAAACGAACCTTTTGTTATGTGTATATGAATGACAATTTGGATTGTCGATTAAAATAATTAGTAGATTCAAATGTTATTATTATTATTAGGATCAACATATTAGTTGTTATTAAATTATGCTCAAACGATTTTTATTATTATTAAACTTTTAAAAGTTATAAAATAATAATTAAATTTTGTTGAACCGTTCTCTGAAACCGTAGAATAAATTTAATGATAATTTTGTATAAATGGTTATTTTTGTAACAATTCAAAAAATTTAATAATTATCATTCAAAAATTTTAATTATTATTTTATAAATTTTAAAAATTTGATGACCAAAATGATCATTTGAACATGTTCAATGATCTTTGACATACTTTATCCTAATTACTATTCATCACAGATTTGTGCTCAAACGATATAGCCAAATTACTATCATCTGGATTAACCAAAATTTTAAAACATTTAACTACCAATCAAAACAAATAATTTGCGAAAATAATTATCAAACCAAACTAACTTCAATTAATTCGATCATTTTTTATTTAACCTTTTAAGTCAATTTGGGCATATGCTTATCTTATATATTCATATAATATTTATTATTATTATTATTATTATTATTATTAATTTTGATTAAATGATTAATTCACTTAATTGATCCTAGATCAAACTCACTATGATGGTCGATCAATTAACTGAATCAATTTAGTTCGATCGATTAATTCAATCTTACCCAACTTTGTGCACCCCTATATAAAAAACTTGAATGCCCATAGTTCACATGCTACAGATTTAATACTAATTTAATTAAATCATAATAAATAGCTATATAATTTATTTTATATATTATAAGAAATAAAGATGCATTACACTAAATATTAAAAAGCATGATAATCAGGTACTACAAAATAAGATATAATAACATCAAACTCAAGTTTCTTGAAAATGCATGCTCTAAGAACAACTAAAACCTTCGGACAAGTTAAGCATTGCCGTCGACAAACATCGGGTTAGGATGAGCACAATTCTCGGCCGTCTCTATTGTCCCCCACTTTCTAGCTTACTTCTTCTTCGCTGATTCACTGGCCTTGGCCTATTGAACAAGCAAAACGGTAAGAAGATTCAGGCTCATCGGCTGTCACTTAAGTGCAACTAAAAGCAGTTTGAATAGGTTATCGTAAAAGAGCAAATGATCTTACCTTCTTCACTCCGCGGATCTTCTTAGCCCTGTTCTTCCGTTCCTTCATCTGCTTCCTTGATTTCTCCACCTTCTTATCAAGTCCATTCTGAAAATGCAAAATAAATAATCAGTGTCTTGCATTGAATCCGTACCCTTTGAAGTAGATTCTAAACTCTACAGTTTCACAACTAGAATTCGAACCAACTTTGATACATGGAGTCGGATGGAATTATGCGTAACAAGTCTATGCCCATTGCCCAACAGGAGTATGTTCAATTTTCTAAATGCTTCTATGCATTTTGAGGATACGAAAGGCAACATAAACCACAAGCAAAACCCAGAGAAATTGTACAAAACAACATAGTAAATTACCCTGATCAGCCTGTACTTGGGTTCATACTTCTTCGCACTCTCGACAGAATCATAAATCAAACCAAATCCAGTAGATTTACCGCCTCCAAAATGAGTCCTGAACTTGAACACAAAGATCGAATTCGGGTCCTTGACCTCATACATTCTAGCAAGCTTCTCCTTCAGCTCCGCCTAACAACCCGACATCGACAAATCAAGAAAATATTAACACAAATCCAAACCTACCAGCATGTTGAAACAAAACAACAACGTCAACGAGAAACATCAAGATTTACCTTGGAAACATTGGGCCTCCCAGGATGCAAAACATCAATGACCTACCACAAAAAGAATCAATTTAATTAACAATATAAGATGCCAGAGTAGCAATTAAGTCAAATAAATACAAGATAATAGCTATACTGCTTCGACTTGTCATTATCTGGACATGATACGAAAGTATGATCCTCGAACTACTTTCTTGGAAAAAATCAATCATACCTAGGTCGGACACTCACTCATGGCTTAATATTCGTATTTGATTTACAGTTTCTCAAAAAAATATCTTGAGACTTCAATTTGATCAAGGAAAAAGCCTAATATTAAAAAAAACTAAATTAAGCATCTTACAAGTAAGCCAGTAAGAAAACAACAATTCTCTCTCTTATGTTTTTCAAATTTCTTTCTTTAATGAGATCTAAAAACCCAAACTAAACCCAAGAGTTGAAATCTAAAATTGACACACGTCTGATTACCGAGAAATATAGTCGAAAATTAGTAGGAAAATAAATAAATGAACTTACAAATTGTTTCCTGGAAAGGAGTCTGTTGGTCATGAACTTCCTTGTCCTAATAGTCACTGCCTTGTCCGCCATGGCAAATCCAAAATCTTCCTTTTCCTCTACTTTTTTTTTTCCTTTTGGTTTCAGAAGCAGCAACTCAGAGAAATATAATTACTCGGCACATAACTATCTAATATCGTATTTTTGGGGATTAGGGCTTCGTTTTGGGATGATTTGGTTATTTTAAGGCTTTCTATTTGGGCTGCACCGATAAACGCAGCGTTTTTCTTGTATTCGTATCTTATAGTATATAATAGTTATAAATTAATAATTTCGATTAATTAATTAATTAATTCAAACTAAAATTTCAAAAAAATACTTTAATTGATCGTTGAATGAACTCATTTATATGATCAACCGATCAATTAACAATTTTTAGTTTAATAATTTTTTTTTCTAAATCTTTTAATAAAATTGATCTTCGAATATTATCTCCGCATACAAAGATTTTAAAATAATTTCCTTTCAAGATCATAACTCAGAGACATGGTCTCGAGAGTCTTACACCTCTTGATATAATTTCTGACAAGTCTACGTGATTAATCAGAATCCAAATTTATTATCACTCGATTGTATCTGTATTAAATGTCATTATAAAATCTATAAATCGAAATTGAACATAAAAAATGTACTTGAATACTCAGTTTAATAAAATCCTAAGAAATAGCCTCGAACTATTTTCTACATCATTGGAAAATAAATATGCATTCCACGAAATTTCTAAAGAAAATAACAAAAATCAGACATTATTAAACTAAAATATATTAACACCAAACACTGAAACTGCAGATTTCAAGAACAACAGCTAAAACCTTCACTAGTAGAGCATTGCTGTGGATGAACATCGGTGGCTTTAAGATTAAGCACAAGCAATCCTCACTTTTTACCTTTCTTCGCTGATTCAGCGGCCTTGAGCTATTGAACAAGCAAAATGGTAAGAAGATTCAGTCTCATTTGAGTGAAACTAAAAGCAGTGCGAATAGGTTATCGTAAAAGAGCAAATGATCTTACCTTCTTCACTCCACGGATCTTCTTAGCCCTGTTCTTCCGTTCCTTCATTTGCTTCCTCGATTTCTCCACCTTCTTATCGAGTCCGTTCTGAAAAATGTGAATCAAATAATTAGTGTCTCGCATCTTATGATGTTAATTCCAGACACTGTGATTTCACTAGAGAAAATGTATAGAGATAACATAGTAAATTACCCTAATCAGCCTGTATTTGGGTTCGTACTTCTTCGCACTCTCAACCGAATCATAAATCAAACCAAATCCGGTAGATTTACCGCCTCCAAAATGAGTCCTGAACTTGAACACAAAGATTGAATTTGGGTCTTTGACCTCGTACATTGCAGCAAGCTTCTCCTTTAACTCCGCCTAACAACCCGAAATCAACAAATCAAGAACATATTAGCACAAATCAAAATTTGCCCGCCGGTTTCAATGAGAAACATTAGGATTTACCATGGAAACATTGGGCCTCCCAGGATGCAAAACATCGATGATCTACCAAACAAACATAAAAGGAAATAGTTGTTTAAACTCGTCATTTTCTGGACGTAGTACAGTATGAGAGTTCGAAGATCTTAAAAAAAACATGAAAAATAGTTGAAAAAAGATGAATGAAAAATGAGTGAAAAAGAAAAGGGAAGGGAACATGCAAATTGTTTCCTGGAAAGGAGCCTGTTGGTCATGAACTTCCTAGTCCTAATGGTCACTGCCTTGTCCGCCATCGCCAATAAAAAAGAAATCTTCCTTTCTCTTCTTTTCCTTTGTTGGTATAGAAAGTAACTGATCGTTAGAAAAGAGTGTTTGACACTAACTGTTTAATAGGCTAATAGCGTATATCTGGGGATTAGAGTCCTATTTTGGGGTGATTTGGTTGTTATGTCGAGTATTTAAACATTTTTATTTAATTTAAATTTTAAATATTTCATGAAATAAATCGTATTTATTTGACTTGATTTTTCTGTAGGATAAACGATTTAAATTTAATTAATCATCTTTTGTTTTCATAAATTATTATCTTTTAATTATTGATTATTTGTACCATATATAAAATAATTTTCTATTCAATTTATAATAAGGTTTTATAATCTCTTAATTTTTGAACTATAATATTTTATTAATTTTAAGATTTTTTACTTCTTTTAAATAAAAATATACTTGTAAGATCTACTATTAAATCGAATAGTTAAAAATGTTTATGTTATCAAGTTCAATAATACACAAAAGTACAATTGAGTGTATAATATGATTAAATTTTCAGCGGAATAAAAAAACGAACACGTATTTTTTTTACACATAATAATATCGTTAATTATTATTTTTTATTAAGCTAAGGTAATTATAAAGTAGTATATGTTCTAAATATTTTTTAACCATTTGGCAATGAATATTTAATCACTTTATAGTCGCTGATGCTCATATCCGTAAACTCTAGAACCAACAACAATTTCTTTACACACTGAGATAGGTTGGTTCATGCATATCATTAATTATTTTAAATTCATTATTAATTAACTTTTAAAAGTAACACTAACAACACAAACCAAATGATTTTAGAAGTTAAAGAATTGTTGTTATTCCTTAAAGTCCCGATTTCATTTAATGTTCACGAACACGTTCATTTAACGTTCGTAAACATATTCGTTTAACATTTGAAACATGTTCATTTAACATTCGTGAAATATTCGTTTAATGTTCAGTAACCAACACTTCTTTTTCATTACAAGTGAAAAATGATGAAATTACACCATTAGTCTTTAATTTTCTTATACTTCATAGTTTGAACTTCAAAATTTATCTTATATTCAATTTAGCCCCTATCTTCTTCAATTCTTAAAATATATATAAAAAAGGAAGAATCAAGTAAACAAGCTTATAGACGAGTCGATAAACAAGCTTATAATTGGGTCTATAAATAAGTCAATAAATGAGCTTGTTCATGAACATAAATAAATTGAACACACTTATTTTCGTGTTCATTCATTTATTAAATGAAGATAAAAAAATTATACTCATTTATCTAATTTATTAAATGAAGATAAAAAATTATACTCATTTATCTAATTTAATAAATGAACATAAATAAATTTTATATAAATGAATCACAAATAATTTACCGAACAGTTCATTATATCCTATGAACATGCAAAACAAAATTATTAAGGGTAAAGTATATAAATAGTCCCCAAACTTTTAGAGTACTTGTATTTTGGTCACGTAACTTTTGAAACTTACAATATAATCATTGCACTTTTAGTTTGTTTTCATTTTGATCCCGACGTTACCTCCCGTTAGTTAAAAGCAGCAGGAGGCCAGTGGTTAGGGGAGTTGCAATGAATCCAGTTGATCACCCTCATGGTGGTGGTGAGGGACGGAGTAAAAGTAGCAGAAGTTATGGGCAGACCTCACGGACGCCTTGGGGTAAGCCATGTAAGTGTGGGTTTAAGACTGCTAAAAGCAGACGCAGAAACTAGTTCTCCGTCGATTTGGCATTTTGTTTCTTTATCTATTTTTAACAATCTGATATTCATTTTTTTGCTGAATTTTGTTTATTAGTTAAAGAACTCCTTGTATGCCATTTAAGCTTGATGGATGTCCATCTGTGTTCAACAGGTTATAAAATAATCGTGTTAATTTCAGGGAAATATTTTATATGAATCTTCTACCTTGTATGCACAATCTGAACCATTTGTAAGAGTGCATTTTCTATGTTGATTTGTTCTTTTCCATTTTGTCTTTAGATTAGTTCATCTATAGTTCTTCCTGAGTAAAAAAAAACCACGATAGGCAAAAGTTATTAAGATTGTTTTCATGTGAAATAGGGTGTGAAAATAATTTTCTTATAACTTCCTTGGACTGTTATAAATGTCCAAACATATTGAATAGAGGCATATTCCGGTAACTACCACCACCTTGCCTCAGCCATTAGAGATGATTCGAGTATTTTACTATAAGAACAAACAATCATACAAGACTTAACTCATCGGTAACACTTGAAGGTTCTATCTGTTCTTGAGACCAAACCGCTGCGAGTTTCTTCCGTAGGGCTGCTAAGTCTTCCCCGGCATCACATAAATAGGCTGATGCTTGCCTGCCAGACAAAGTTGCTCCTTCCATACTATCTATATAATCCTATAAACAGTAATACGATTATATGTTTATAAGATTACCATTTTTCTTTAGTTAAAAGGTTTAGATAAACAGTTGTTTTCCCTAGAAATGCAGGAATCCCCGTCTAAGATGGAAAAGAAAGGTAGAAATTACCTGCTTTGTGTACGACTCGGCAAGAAAGAAGTTCTTTACGGGTGTCTTTTGATCAGGTCGGAATGGATCTTTACCAGGCCCTTCACGGTATAGAGATTGCCCAATTTCACAACAGATGACCAAACAACTTCTAAACCTTGGGATGATGGGAATAGAGCCAAAACCTGCCAATGAAACAGAACAGGTTATGAAAATGAGTTGGAATTCTATCTCCTTGATGTAAAAACCAAACAAGGTAAGGAAATGGTGCGTCTAGATCATGTTAAGTATTGTCCGATACCGATACGGCAGAAGTAAAAGTTCACAACAACCAGATGGTCCTGGTTATCTTCTGCCATAAAAACCAGACAAGATCCACCAACAAGCCAAACTATTGCTGGTCCTTAGCAGCAGTGCTCACTAATATATGACACACTATAGGTGCAAGCTAAGTTGCTTATACTATTTATTTTTCTCGAATTATCCATGCATGACATTCAACAAATATGGAATATGGATTTGATCCTCCAAAGATCCTTTCAACATGGAAAATTTTAGTTAGAAAAAAATACCCGTACCGGAAACTTGCATTGGAGTGCAAGTAACATAGGGTGCTAGTGCACATATGAGCAAACCCCAGCTACACTAGAGACCAACTTGAGACAGAACTATTATGCATGTATGTGTCTCTTGAAAGTTGTAATTAACTTAAGAACAAATGGCTCCTCAGAAGTTTCCAACCTGCTTGACAACTCTCTTTATGATTTCATCGTTTGGCAATGGCATGTACGGGTCTCCGGGTGTCAAGACACACCTGAAAGTTAACAGCCAAACAAGCAATAAAATAATTTGGTCAATCGAAGAGAAGATGAAGTATCCAACAAGCAACTGAATGTAACCGGAAAAAAAATGACTTAATAACAGTTAAGGAAATACGGGTACTTACTGGAGCAATGAGCCTTGTCCTTCGATGTAGTAATCTTCTGGAGAAGTTAGAGCTAGGTCTGCAAAGCAGGAGAAATCCGCATCTGGAGTATACAGAAGATTATCGAGACCTATAGCTTGCCTCGATTGCCTTTCGAGGAGTCAAGGATAATCGGGAAACGAAGCACAACAAGTGAAATGTTAGTTTTTAAGCAGCAAAAGCAAAGGAAGGTTTTACTAAGCCTAATCCATCTTTGATAACAACCTTAACATGGAGGAAGGAATCACCTTGCCTGTTGCAGATCCCGCAACTCTGTGACCCAGCCATTGTATCGAAGTTGCACGGTAATAACTGGAACACCTACGAGCTCGTAAATGTTGTTGAAAAATTCCGATTCCCACCACTCGGATGGAAGTAGCCTTTTTATTCCAGGGATATCGCATGCTGCCATCAATCGAGAAAGAACAATTAAGAATCATTTTCGATAAGATGAGAGAGGTAAAATGGAACTTTTGAAGAGGAAGATCCAACTATAGACCAGCAACATAAGCTTCAGCTGTTACAAGTTTCTTGTTAGTAGCCTGCAACGATACGATACGATACTTAAAGTTAACTTTCTATAAACTGAAACTAAAGTTCCAATATTTACAGGATGCAACATTCAAGTAGATTTACTTTAGACATGGAAAGTCCGGTAACATATGTCTCTCCATCAGCAGATGTATCGTATAGTATCTCTCTGCAACCCCACCTTAGATGGAACCTGTTCCGGAAATTAAGATATAAGCAGTCAACTCGTATCGAGGAAAACTGATGAAGTGGTGAAACATTATCTGAACCAAATAGTTTGTAGGATTATATTAACAACATACCTGCCTCCTCTTTCTGTAATATAATTTCTGATCGGACCACTCAAGTAAATATCTGGAGAACCCTTCAGCATTTGCAGAAGGGAAGCCTCTGTCTTAGTGGCAAACAAGGAGAAAATCGTGAGCATACATCGAGCACTGATGTTATCACAGTCGATAAAACCCAAGGCATAAGCAACCGGATCCACATTCTTTGGATACTCGTGCGCGTACCACCTTTCGAGAAAAACCAATCCGAGAAGCTTATCTGCAAGACAGTTTGAATATAACTATTTTCCAGACAAAAATGAAGCGACGAAAGAAAAACTATCACAACTGGTGTACAACTTCGTGCTACTAAGATGTTAATTTAAGTTGAAGAGATTTCTTTAGAAAACTAAAACTTGGTGAGAATCCGAAAAGGGAATGAAAAAGTATAATTTGACATACATTATCCAGATCTCTTATATCCCTCATTGCTCCATCTGGACCAATAAGAGCCCTAACGACTGGACTTAGGGCAAGAGCCATAGCATTTCTTGCTTTATCGTAAGTCTGCACTTGAAAAATATAGAGCGAAATGATTAGCTTAAGCACCATCTACTTTAGGTTACAGAAACAAATAACACACACATATAAAGCCTCGGAATGCCATCGACAATAACACCGTAGCAGTATAGACAATTATAGCAGATAAACAGAAGAAGCA